GGATGCACAGATATTTTTGCTTAAAAATAAATGTTTCTAGCTAGAATAAAAATATCTATTGTTTTAGGGGTTAAATATATGAAACTGAATGCAGACAATGTTTTCCAGGAGGTTTAAACCTTTCTAGAGTGTTCAGGCCCTTCTTGGTGTTCTCTTCTCTTCATGCCTGCCCTTATAAAACAAAACAGGAAGATAACAACTTCTTTTTAATCCGTCTGTATTCTTAAAAAAATATTATTACAAACAGACACACCAATCCCAAGACAGTAAATGGATTTCTAAAGAAAATATGTTGTGGTGAAGAAAAAGGTGATCTCCCAGCAGCGTGTGTTTGTGTGTTAGGGTTAGGGTTAGGTTTAAGGGGTTATGGTTAGGGTTAGGCTTGGGGTTAAGTTTAGGGTTAGTGTTAGTGTTGTCAGGGTTAGGGTTAGAGTGAGGGTTTGTGTTGTTAGGGTTAGGGTAGGGTTATGGTTAGGGTTAGGGTTAGGTTTAGGTTTAAGGGGTTATGGTTAGAGCTAGGGTTAGGGTCAGTGTTGTTAGGGTTAAGGTTACAGTTAGGGTTTAGGGTTAAGGTTAGGGTTAGGGTTAGGATTAGGATTAAAGTTTAGTGTTAGGGTTTGGTTTATGGTTTGAGGTGGGGGCAGCTTGGGTCTGGGGCACATCCTTTGCCGTTCGGAGTTTTTGCAGGTGGCCACCCACTGAGGGCTACGAGCCCCTGAACACTAAACCAACCCTTTTCCCTGGGTAAAAACTCACCAGCCCAGGTTCCTGATGTCAGTTTGGGTTAGGTTTAGGGTTATGGTTAGGCTTAGGGTTAGGGTTAGGGTTCGTTTAGGGTTAGGGTTAGCGTTAGAGTCTGTAACATCAGTAAAACTGTAAAATTGTACTTCACAGAGAAGAGGATCAGAGCAGGCAGGTGGGGGCACAGCAACACCACTAAGAGAACGATGCTGGTGCATGCACATGGGAGGGTGGGATGTGTCTGCTCTTGGGGTGTCTGCTCCTTGGTCAGAGCAAGGAAGGAAGCAGCATGGGATACTTCAAAGTAGGTTACCAAGAAGGTCTTGCTGATTGTAAAGCAGTTTTAAAACCACAGATACCTGAGAGAACAGTGAAGGGCTATTTGTGGGCACCCAGAGCAGGAGGTAGTCACAAAGCAAAGCAGAGGTTCTGTGGGTTATGACCATGACCCTGAACTCCACCAAACCTCTGGGTGACTCTTGCAGTCTGCACCCTGCCCTGGCATAGCCTGCCAGTCTCCAGCATGACTCACACAGCTACGGGATTTACCAGGAAAGCACACACAAAAAATCAGGTGGACACACTGCCCCAGTGCCAACTACCAACACCTGTCCCAGATCCACCACTGCCGTTCAGACAAAGCTCATTTGCAGAAGAGTTTGATTGTGAGCTCTCTAATTCAGCACACAGTGCAGAGGGACTGTCAGCCACTGTGCTCCTGTCCCTCAGGCTTAGGGACAGGGTGGGTGTCCTGCAGGGCACAGCCACCTCTCCCAGGAAGGGGGAACACACACACCTTCATGCTCTTAAAAATCTGGCACTCGGTCCCTAAATGTTTGTCTCACCAGGACATGTCAAATGATTTCCTGAGTGGTGTTTCCCTGGGGACAGTTGTTTAAATAATAATTGATGGGATGGTATGTGGTGTCACGTCTTATCAGCAGCCAGAGCTGAGAGCAGGGGTGGACAAGGAAGTCAGGACTGAGGATGGCTTCTGTGGAAATCACAAATCTGAGTACGCAAACAGCTCCATGTTTAGTAAATACCCAACTGATGCAGTCATGACATTTATAGAAGAGGTGGAGGGAGCAGTGGCATGTACATGAGGAGATAGATTAAAATCTTGACCCAGAATAGAACAATAATGCAAAAACTTATAATCAGCAGCTACAAAGGCTCCCAGGGCCTTCTTCTCCCATTTGGGTTATTTAATTATTCTTTCAGAATCTAATTGTCCCACTTGGAGCTATTCATAGGATTACTGAACCTCCTGCTAATCTAGATTGGGTGGTAGGTCACTCCCTTACACAGTCCTACCACTCAAGGTCCCTTTGGTTCAGAGGGGAGATAAGACTGTGACAGGATGGTGGCTTTACAGCTGAGGTACAGTTATCACAGTTAGTACTGTAAGAACTAATTGACTTATTTTTCCAACTCTGTCAAAGGTGATGGTAGATTTTGGACAGGCACCTTAATATTTTCTGTGTCAGTTCTGGAGAACACACTTTGATGTAGCTGGTCAGAAATAGAATTGTGGTGTTGGGATGTGAAAGGAGCTTCAGAGTGATCCTGCTGGTAGTGACACCTCCTAGGCAAACACCAGAATCCTTTGTAAGGTAACTAAGGGAAGGAGAACAGGAACATCTGCCTCCAATGTGAGTCCTGCTTGCTCTGTGCATGGAGATGGAGAGTTTGTGCGGATGGAGAGACTGAGCCCAGGCTCGGAGAATTCAGCCCTTTGGGTGCACTTTGGACCAGGCAGAGGTTTACCCTGACATCTGAACTTACAGCAGCTTTTTGGCCACTCCACCCAGGGTCCCCAGGAGGGCACCACCCCGAGGCTGCCCCAGCCCTGGGACCACTGAGGGATCGCTGCAGGGAGCCCTGCAGAGGTTCCAAGCATTGTCCTCCCCCTCCATGGGTGGGTGTGTGACCTGCAACGCTGCTCCTTATTTTGGGAAGTTCATCCTCCAAGACATGGGGATGCATCTCCCTGAGGCCATGTCCCACCTCTCCTCACTGAGTTAGCTCTGAGGTGTTTCATCATTTGTACTCAAGGAAAATACACACTTAGTTTGAGTGCTGCAACAGAACTGAGTTATTTTCAGGTCAACAAAGCACCCACATCCTTACCCAGTAAGACCACAATGATCCTCATCATAGAATAAATGGGCAAACATTTGGTTGAGTTAATGAGGAGTGAAATAGCTCTGGTAATAAGGATTGTTGTAAGAGGTCACACCATGGCTGTGACATAATCCCACAGCACTGCTCCTGTGTGCCTGGAGGAACGTGAACGCCTTTCCAGTGAAAGCAGGACACCCACACACCTGGGTGAAAGAGAAATTAATTGGGACTAAGTCCTAAATGTGTTTTGTCTTTGGGTGGCAGTCAAAAGGGCTTGTCAGGCAATGCTGAAGGCAAACAAAGAGAAATTGACCATTGCAAGGTCTTCAAAACATCTTTTCAAGGAGGATCTTGGAGGATTTGTAGTGGCTGGTGAAGTCCTTGTGGTCCTGAAGGAAGAGCAGGCCCAGCAGGCACAGGCAGCAAATTCTGGCAGAGAAAACATGCAAGTGTGAAGTGAATCTGATTCAGAAAGGAAGTGGGAAAGAGAAGGAAGAAAACTGAGGCCAAAGTGCTGACAGTCATGGCAGGGAGGAGCAGAAGAGCTGAAGGAACCAGGTTCCCCGCTCCAACAAAAAGTCACTTTTTGCCCAAAGGCTGCCAAGGAACTGATGTGAGAACCCAAAGGACTTGTAGCATAGCAAGAGCCCTGAGTTCCCAGTGCAGCTCCCAGTCCATGCCTCCAGCGGTTTTTTTCAGATTTAGGGAGCCCAGGCATCAGGCCACACCTTGCTGGTAGAGCTGTGGGATTTCACGGTGAATCCCACACAGATCATTTGAGTGGCAAGTCAAGCCTGGAGGAAAATGCACTCTAAAAAGAAAAGGCACAAGTAGGTGCCTTGAGATAACAAGCATGTCCAGGAAGAAACAACTGTTGCCAACCTTTCCATAAAATGTAAATATTCCTTCTTCCGCGGATGTGTCAGGAATTATATTGCTGTGTAAACACTGAGTAAGGGGTTTTGTCACAGCTTCCCATGAACTTGATCCCCTACCCTCAGAGTAACCACAGCGATGATGTTGACTCTGACTCCAATAGATATTCCAGGGAATGACTCTGAAAGGGAAAAAAATAAATGCATCAGACTTCACGTGCCTGGGAGGTGAAACATTTTTAGGGAAACTAAATTCATATATATATCCATTCATGCAAGGGAAACTAAATTCATAAATATATCTATTCATGCAAAGAGGATGACAAAATAATATTAGAAACACAGGCCATTTTTAGCTGGTTTTGGCAATTTTACATGATAAATCTTGTATATTTTCTATGTTTCCAAGGAAGTCAAACTTGGAAAGCTTTCAGCTACAGAATGTTCTTAGAATGCTCTTCCCTCTGGTGACCTATGACAGGATCCGAGGGAACAGCTGGAGCTGTGTCAGGGGAGGGTCAGGTTTGATATGAGGAAAGGGTTCTTCCTCAGAGGGCGATGGGGCACTGAAGAGGCTCCCCAGGGAATGGTCACAGCCCCAGAGCTGCCACAGCTCAGGGAGTGTTTGGACAATGCTCTCAGGCACAGGGTGGGATTGTTGGGGTGTCTGTGCAGGGACAGGACTTGGACTCAATGGTCCTTGTGGGTACCTTAAACGCAGCATATTCCATGATTCAATGACACGGGAGGGGATAATCTATTTGAGATGTTTGGCAAGTCCATTTGAGCAGAAAACCTCTTGTCCTCAAAACCCATAATCCCTGAAATCTCCACTTTCCCCCCAATAAGCTATTTCTGCAGCTGAGATAACCACATTCCAACTGTGTCATGTCCAGGGCGAGCCCACAGAGCACATTTTATTGAATTTTAGTCAAAGTGCAGGGTGCAGTGTTGCCACCAGCATGGTCTGAGCTGGAGCTGAGGCTGGGATTGGACCTGGAAACAGGGGTCAGGAATGGAGATGGGGCTGGAGCTGGGGGTTGAGGCTGGAACTGGCCTGGGAGACAGGGCTGGAGCTGGGGCTGGACCCAGGGCCTGAAACTGGAGCTGGGGTTGGAGCCTGGAACTGGGGCTGGAGCGGGGGCTGGATCCAGAGCAGGGGCTGGAGCTGGGGCTGGTGCCAGGGGACCTGGGCCCGGAGATGGGCCCGGAGCTGGGCCTGGAGCTGGGGCCGGTGCCAGGGCAGGCGCTGAGGCTGCAGCTGGGGCTGGACCCGGAGCAGAGGCTGAGGCCTGCAATGGGAGCCGGGGCCTGGAGCTGGAGCCCCTGAGCCCGGAGCCGGGCCCGGAGCTGCAGCCGTGCCCGGAGCCGGGCCCGGAGGCGGGGGCGGTGCCGGCCCTCGGGGGCCGGAGCACGGGCGGCCCCCCCGGCAGCGATCGTTGGACCCAGGGCCGTGCCGAGCCGAGCCATGGCGGCGCCGGGGCAGAACGTGGCCGTGGTGGTTCACCGAGCCGGGGAGCTGCGCCTGGTACGGCCGGGAGGAGCCGGGGCCGGGCGGGGGCGGCGGGGCGGGAGCGGGCCCGGGGCACCGGGGGTGTGCGGGCGGCAGCCCCGGGGGAGCCCGAACCGGCCCCGGGGGAGCCCGGACCGGCCCGGGGGAGCCCGAACCGGCCCGGGGGAGCCCGAACCGGTCCCGGGGAGCCCGAACCGGCCCGGGGGGAGCCCGAACCGGCCCCCAGCCCGCAGCCGCCACGGCACGGGGAGGCCTGCGGGGCGCGGGGACCCGAATTCGGGGGCGTCTCATGGCTGGGCCCTCCCAGCTCGTCCGTGGGGAAGCCCTCACGGCCTAGCGGGGAATGACCCGGACAGGGAAAAACAAAACACAACAAAACAAACCCAGAAAACAAAACCAGAAACAACCCAAAAACTAAAAAAAAAAAAAAAAAAAACCAAACCAAAAAAACCCAAACAAACGAAAAAAAAAAAAAGTACCAGCCCTCATGTGCCTGGGAGGTGCGACATTTTTGCAAGAAAAATAAATTCATAGATGCACTCATTCAAGGAAGTAGGAGGATGCAACAGCATCAGAAGCATGACTTATTTTTAGCTGGTTCTGGCAACTTTGCATGTTCTATTGTGCATATTTTCTGGTTTTCCGGAAAGGTTTTCTTGGAACGGTTTCAGCTGCAGAATGCGCTTAGAGGACACGAGAGGGGATAATCTTTGAGATCTTTGCCAAGTCTGGGTGGAGAACCTTTTATCCCTGAAAGCAAGAATCCCCAAAAAGCTTCTCCCCCTGCCCCACAATCAGCATTCCCGTAGCTGAGCCGGGCCCTCGCAGGGAGCAGCGGTGCAGGGTGGTTCTTGTCCTTCGGGCTCTCAGAGCCCAGGTGAGCAGCAGCACAGCGGGTGTAGGGGGAGCAGGTGCTGGAGGTCCCTCCCGGACAGGGGGAGCTTTTGTTTTGTATGTAAATATATATGTATATATTTGTTGGAGTATTTTAAAGTACTTTTTTAGTTCTTTAAGCTCATTCTGCTTCTCTGGCTGCTAATGCTCGGCTCTTTCTGGGTGCTGAATCACTATGGCGCTGCTGGAGAGCCGTGTTTTCCAGTTTGGTGAGTGCCACAGGAGGGAAGGAAGATTTCCACAGGCAGACATTGGCAGGCAGCTTTCTGTACACAGAGTCCTGGCAGGAGAGCACTCGGGAGCACACAGACTTTGGATACACGCCTTGTTTAGGGGATGATTACCAGGGAAGTGGTTGATTCTTTACCATTCCCGCCCAGCTGAAGCCACACGTGCCAAACCAGAGCAGTGCATGTAGGTGGCTCCTGGTGGCTGCCAGGCTGCTCCCAGGCACCTCTGACACGATTGTGCTTTCCCTAGTCACATGCAGCCTGACTACCAAAGGAAATCAAAATGGGTTGAGGACTGAGGTGGCCCCTCTAGCTCAAGAACACCTTTCCAAACCCCTGTGATTTAAGAAAGGTGTCTGAGACTTGTGAAGGTGGACACTGGCTCCATCACATCTGTGTGGCTGGTCTCTAAACTGGCTTACACCCAGATGTGTGATTTTTCCTTGGATATTAGTACTGCTGGAGACCTTAGAGCTAGTCACTAGTGCCTTCCTGCCCCACTGGCAGCACCTTGTGTGATCCTCCTGGGCTTCCCTGAAGTTTCTTTCCACGATGTGGATGGTGTTCACTGTATTGACCCACTGGTGGTAGGAGTAGTCTCAGCAGTGAACTCTCAACTTGTTATCTGTTACTGATAGCCAAAGCTAGGTGATGCCATCTTCCTGTAATTCCCACACCTTTCTTGATTTTTTGATGTGTTTCCCATAGGCAGAGGTGCTGTGATCCCTGTGCTGTGTGAAAATGTGTTTGCTTTGTTTTTGTGGACACTCCTCTTGTCCTTAGGCAGTTGCACAGCTTCCTCTTTGCTGTCTGTTAAGGATTTGTTGGTTTTATACTTGTACCATGACTTCTCTTTCCATGTCTCCTTTCACAGAAAGTATTAGCTGTGTTTACTTTACAGTCACAATTTCTAAACTTCTCAGTGAACAACAGACAATGAGCAGAATTTGTGTCTTTGGTGTTCTCCACTTTGGTCACTCAATATTTTCTCCAAATCAGGATGGAGAATTCACTTCCCACCGAGATGTCTAGGTTTTCTGGGCACAGTTGTTAATTGCCAGGAAAAAAAATAGAGATATATAGTGGGTTTGGGGTTTTTTTTTACACACATGCTTTCAGCTAGAAGTTTGCTTTATCTCTCAGTGTGGATTTTCTGTTCAGTCTGAGGTGGTCTGTACCTCTGGTGTGTTACTAGATCCTGTGCTTATTGCATTTTCTATAAAAAAGGTTACTTCTAGATTGACCTATTTTAGAAATAATGCTCTGGGCTATGTCCTCAGTGTAAGAAAACAAACACCCCACACAGAAAAAAATGTAGATTCAGGTCTGAACATGGAAAATTTCAGTCAGTTTAGTCATATGAGAACGTTTCCAGAGTTTGTCTTTCTATGACGGTTAGAATGCTGAAGTACAAAACAGGAGTTGAGGATTATGCTGGGATTTAAACAGTTAAAATGCAGAACAGTGCACCTCACAGTTTGAGCAGCAAGTGAATTTTTAAGGGTATATTGTTGGCACTATTCTGGGGGCTTTTCTTAGAGACATAATCCTCGGGGTGGTTATTATATTGTCCTGATGTTGTAATACCCAGCAAAATTATTCCTTTGGCTTTTGAGGCAGTTGAGGGAGATCAGTGAAGGCAAAAGCCCTGCAGACCTTTGGGGTTTTGTCCCTGTGGGGCACTTTTCTAACTCTGGTTTTGTCATTTATCCCATAAAGAGGTGCCATGGCAATTACAGGAGGACGTGAATGTATACATTAATAGGTATAAATCATTCTGTCTATATTATGTATAAATATTATATGTAAATTTTGTGTTATTGGCACAGGTTGCTCAGAGAAGCTGTAGCTGCCCCATCTGGGTTCAAGGATGTGGCTTGGAGCAACCTGGTCCAGTGGAAGGTATCCCTGCCCATGGCAGGGTGTAGAATGAGATGAGCTTTAAGGTCCTTTCCAACTCAAACCATTCTGTGATTCTGTTATTCTATCATTATGTAGTAAAGAAAGTTTTGCATTATTAAAAATAAAATATAAGCCCTGCAATATTCAGGCTTTATAGAACTGGCAGTTCAGAATCTTCCTGATTACAAAAGGTGATTTTTTTTTTTTTTTTTTTTTTTTTTTTTTTTTTTTTTTGTCAGTCAGTGGGATGGATTAAGGATTCTGCTGAAATTTGGGGCTGCTCCAGTGCAGGGAAATTTAGTATGTGTCTCTTGTCTGGGCTGGGAAAGGGAATTCACTCCAAAATAATTTGGAGAGTGGATTTACAAGCTGGCAGTGTGCTTCCTCCTACAGCTACCTGTGTTATTCCACTGAGGCGTGTCTTATGGAGCAGACAGAGCCAAAAGCTTTGTCTGCTTATGGATTTACCTGAGCTTACCAGAGCTAAGTTTTCACTGATATTCCCAGGGATATGAACAAGCAGCTGAATGCTATTTTTTCCTTTTCTCTGTAGGAAAACCGTCCAATCCCTGAACCAGGTCCTAATGGTAGGTCTATAGATGACTGATTCTGGCTGCTTTCTTTAATTCTCTCTTTGTTTTCTCATTTTCTTTTGTTGCTCTTTGATAACATAAAATATTTCTGAGGAAGTACAAAATTATCCAAAAAACAATTGTGTGGCTGAAGCAGATAATGCTGCTTTTCCAGCTGAAAAGAAGAACTGGAGCAGTCACAGATAAACCCCTTTATCTGGCTTTTTTTTGCTTCCTGTTCCATCAGTTTGTGTATGTCACAGTAAATGGCTCTTGGGACATGTCGGATGATCTTATGCAGGACTAAACATTAATAGAATGGGCATATGGGCTGACAGAGATTTGATTCACTAACTCTCTGGGGCTGAAATCACAGCTTCGGGAGAAGGGAAAATTAAATGGACTTTCCTAGGCAAGCTTCAAACTTTGTTGACTGTATTTTTATTGACATCAGCTTTTGTCTTACCCTATTTTGAGCCTTTTTGCTTTGTGAATCATTGCATAGTTTTGTATTTCAGCAGGTGGCTCATGAATGTGCCACTTTTCCAACGTGTGCATGCCCAATTGTGGTGTGTTGATTGAACGCTGGTAAATTTGGATGTGTCGATACTGGCTTGGCCTTTGCTCTGGGGCCCACGTGCTGCTCTCCCAGTGCCCAAGAAGGTCAGTTTTTCTACAAGGAACCTTCCCTCCTTTCCTGGCAGAGGTCCTCCTGCGCATGCATTCCGTTGGGATCTGTGGCTCTGACGTTCACTACTGGCAGCACGGTCGAATCGGGGATTTTGTTGTCAAGGATCCCATGGTGTTGGGACACGAAGCTTCCGGGACTGTCATAAAAGTGGGCTCTGGGGTGACTCATCTGCAACCAGGTATCTGGAACCAAACCCATTTGTTTGTTTTCCTCCTAATCAGTTCCAAGAATGTGCCGATAACAGGCTGTGTTTTTTTTCTGTCATGTGAATTTATCCGAAGTTCTGAACTCACAGTGTGACCTCCTTCAAGAAGTGTCACTGCTCTGCAGTTAGTCACCCATCTTGGCCACTAGTATGTGATATTCCTTAGGCAGCTTTATCCTGGGATGTGTTGAGCTGGCCTGGCTGTATTTTAATGCAGAGCAGAGTGTATCCTGGTACAAAATGCCTTTTAAGGAAGCTTGATAAAGCTTCAGAAACCACATCTATAGCTCTTGCCAGCAACCTGCTGTGAGTGTTTCTTCTCTGTGTGTGCTCTTGAAGGAGCAAATGGCCTCCTGCAGTGCAGAGGTCACTGGAGCCACTGCTCCAGGCCCTGTGGTGGGACCTCCTCATGAATATCCTAGAAAATGGACTGAGCAGAGAATTTTGTGAAGTCTGCTGATGACACCAACTGAGGCAAAGTGGAGCGGATGTGGGGGAGAGCCAGCAAGAGTTACAGAGAGACCAGAGAGGTGCCTGGGAGATGCAGGTGGGATTGGATGCAGGTGAGATTCAACACAGGCAAACACAAAGTGATATCCATGACAGAATAAAACCAGCTTCATATCTAAAATGCAGTCCTGACCATCACTGCTGAGGGGTGAGACCTTTGGCTCTGACACTGTGCATAGCAGCATTAGCTCCACAGCACTGAAAATGCAGATTACTGTTGGGAAGGGGACAGAGACTCAGAGGATGTCAGTGCACATCTGGAACTCTGCATGCAGTTCTGGTCTCCTCCTTTCCAAAGGGATGTAAAACAAGTGAGAAGGGTTCAGAGGAGGACAAGGAGATAACGATATGTGGAGCAGCATCTCTGACAAATGTCCAAGTCAGGAACTCGAGCTGAGAGCTAGAGAGATAGCTCAAGGATGTGAGGACTTATGGAGGGCTGGCAGAACAGGTTGCCCATTCTCTGGTTGTTCCAGCACCAGAGCAAGGCACAGTGAGGTTCAGCATTCACCTGAGATGTAGCAGACCATGTAGTTTATGTGGTGCAAGGAGAAGTTGTTGAGTGTTACTAAATACAAACACACCTCCTGTGATTTGGTAGGCCTCACCGCTGCGTATAAAGTAAGGCTGGGAGAGTATTCAGTATGTGCCTGTCCTGCCCCTGTCCTGTCAGACACCTGTTGTTGGCCAGCTCAGAGGGGATGCAGTGGCCTGGATGGCTCTTACTTGCATCCTGCTTATCCCCATGCCTGCCTGAAAGCCTGTTGGTGGAGAGCTTTGCTCAGAGGTTTGGCTCTGATTCCTCTGCCAAATAAATGTAAGGCTTAGTGTCCCTTGTGTACTTGCAAGTTGTACTATGCTCATGCTGTTTTCTCTAGTCCATCCTGCTTTGTGACTGCAATTAAATAATAGCTCTTTGTCTTGCAGCATGTGTCCTTCCAGTACCCTGAACTACTCTGTTGTAGCACCAAGCTGTCTCTGTTCCCAGATAAATCCTGCCAGGCTCCTGGGTGTTCTTCACCTTAAGCTTCCTTCCCTGTGAGGGTGGGGAGGCCCTGGCACAGGTTGCCCAGAGAAGCTGTGGCTGCCCCATCCCTGGAAGTGTTCAAGGCCAGGTTGGACAGGGTTAGAAGCATCCTGGGATAATGGAAGGTGTCCCTGCCCATGCAGGGAGTGGAACAAGCTGAGTTTTAAGGTCCCTTCCAAGACAAATACTGCCTTGATTCTATGATTCTCAAGGGACAGCCCTTTCCAGCTGGAAGCATGGTGACTGGCTGAGCTCACCTGCTCCATCCTCAGTATTTCCTCTTCAACAGATTCAGCAAAATACCTGGTCACAGTGAGATTGCCTGGGGCCTGCCCATTCATCTGCTGAGGTTGGCTGCAAGGCAGCTGGAGGAAGGTGTGTGTGTGGGGCTGAGCTTCCATCTGTGCCTGTGCCTCTGAAACACCATCTCTTTCCAAGTACCTGGAAGATTTTGGTGATGAGGCTGCTGTGCAGGGAGCGTTGGGAACCAGCCTGGTGTGTGCAGCAAGAGCTTCCTCGTGTCCCTCCTGCCTTTATAGTACCGGTGTTTCTTTGGCTTTTGGTGCTACTCCTGCTTGTGTGCCACCCTGTCCCTGACCCACTCCATCTGCTGTCCTCCTGGCAGGTGACCGTGTGGCCATCGAGCCGGGTGTCCCAAGGGAGATGGATGAGTTCTGCAAAAGTGGGCGCTACAACCTGTCCCCGACCATCTTCTTCTGCGCGACACCCCCCGACGACGGGAACCTGTGCCGCTACTACAAGCACAGTGCAAGCTACTGCTACAAGTCAGTCCATGCTCCCTCCACAGAGAAATAAACACTCCCTGGGGGAGATTAGCTGCAGCAATCACCTCTTGGCCCTTTGGAAAACTCTTTATGTGATCCCAACAGGTTTTATTGCTTTCTGGTCCATAAATAACATGCCTAAGCTTGGATGGCAGCCACTTTGCAAAGGGTTTGTCAGGCAGACAGTTTATCCCCTCAGGTGCCAGACATAAACATTTCTTGTATGCCTCCTGGGATGTTACCACTGGTTTACCCTTTAATTATTTTCCTTTCCCCATTTGCTCCCTGCTCTTGGTTTCTCTCCTGTCTCTTTTCATATCCTTGCCTTCCTAGGCCAGTGCCTGAAGGTCTTTTTCCAGTTCTTTGAGCTGAGTTTTGCTGCTGCTTTTCAGGAAACACCAGGGTGACTGCTGACATCTCACTCTGTCATTTGAAACAGTCACCCCACTTTGAGCAGAGCAGGAACAGAAAGCAGTAGCCCTGCTGAGCTGTTTGTTCATATGTTTCTGAGTGTCTCCACGAAGCTACCAGCATTACAACATATCTGTTTTCATGTCCAGTTCAGCAAACTTGAATATGTTATTAATTGTGGCAGCACTGGCACATAGGCTTAGAAGCAAATCTGTGCTTAAACACTCTGGCAAATTATAGAATCCCAAAAGGGCTTGGTATGGAATGCACCTTAAAGCTCTTCCCACTCCAACCCCTACCATGGGCAGGGATAGCTTCCACTAAGCCAGATTGCTCCAAGCCCCATTCAGCCTGACCTTGAACACTTCCAGGGATGGGGCAGCCACAGCTTCTCTGGGCAACCTCTGCCAGGACCTCAAATGCTCCAAAGACCTGAAAAAACTTATACGACATTATACCCATTTAAGTACCTTTAACAAGGAGTTAAAAATAGCCCAAGTAGTGTCCCCCTGAGGCAGCTCTACCTGTGGGGCTTGTTCTTTTTCAGTCTGTATGGAGCTGGTACTTCCATGAACAGGAACATCCTTGGGATTGATCTTTGGTGTCTGCACAGAAAGCGTTCAAGGTCGTGTCAGTTGGGAGGAGGTGCTTGACTGCTCTCCTGAGAGTCCTCAGGCAGGAAGCTTTCAAAGCAGATACCAAGCAGCTGCTGTCAGGATGAGGTGCTGGTCTGGATGGGATTAGCATCTCACTGTCCAGACCCACTGTAATCGATTTCCTTTGTATCAAAATAACATTTTCTGACAACATCACAAGTTTTTGCTTGAGAGGAAGTGGTTGGTTTGTTGCTGGTTTCTTCTAGTCTTTTGCATTTTCCCTCCAATTTGAGCAAATATTACTTTGGTTGTTTTTTTGGTTTGTTTTAAGTTTTGGGATGCAATGCCTGGACCTGGTGCTCCCAGTTTCAGATCAGCAGTGCTGTGTCTGGCTCATGTAGAGCAGATTGCCTGGCATGCAGCCACTCTGCCAGCACAGATTTGCTAAGAACAGATGATGGCTGAGCTCAGTGAGCTTTCACACATTTGGGCAGTTATTGTGTGTCCTGCTGGTGGACAGACTCTGTGTTGTATTCTCCGAGTAACTTGATGGAGGTGGGATCATGCTGTGAAGCTGCCCCCAACTATTGACAGGGCAGTGCCCAAACCCAGCAGTAGCAAACATGATGCCAGGCTCTGTGACAACAGAACTCTTGGAGTCAGACCTTTAAAGACTCTTGGAAATAAGGGATATGCAGATATCTTACAGCTGTCTTCCCACAGCCATCATTTCCATTTCTTTGGCTTCACACTGGCCTGGCTAAGATCTGACCTTGAGCTTCCCAGTGCTGTTACCGTCCCTGCTGACCCTCCTGGCAGGCACAGCTCCCAGAGCAGTGTGAGAACCCACAGTAGTGGTTTGCTGATGGGCAGTTTTGGGGCTGAGATTGATTTCTTTCAGCAGTTCAGAAGGGTTTCACTTCCTCTGCTTTTTTCTGTCACTTATGTTGGCTGTATTACAGGGCTGCTTTTGTCCAAAAGGTGTTTGATACTCCCTGCACATGGTGTCCCTGACTGCTGGGAGGATGCATTCTGGGACCAGTCCACTTGTTAAAACATTGGTGCATCAGGGAAGGTGATCCTCGTTGTTACAGGGAGACCTGGATATGGCTGCCTTTCCCGGTGGCCTCACCTTTGGCAGCAGGATGTTTTCTAAAAGCTAATTCAACCCTGGAGAGGGCTTTGGGAGCTCACTGGTGGGTGAGCCATAGGGTGGTACAGATGCAACTGGGTGATTTATTCTGAAGGGAATGAGTGGCAAAGGAATCCTTGTTGGTTCACCAAGTACTGGAGAGTTGATGTGGGGAAGTTTGTGGGTCCCTGGGTGTGGTGCTTGGGCAAAACCTCACTGAAAAATGCTTCAGGTGCACTCGATGCTGCTTCAGAGGAGGGAAAGAAGCAATGGAGTCTCTTGAACTGTATTCCAGCATATTTCTCTGACCACAGGTGGCAGTGTGTTTTGCCACTGTGTTTTACACCCATGCTTGGTTTTTGAGTCTCATGGCTTTGCCCATCACCACCATGAGCTCCATTGGTGACTGTTCCTTGTGTCCCATTCTTGCAGGCTTCCAGATAATGTCACCTTTGAGGAAGGAGCCCTTATCGAGCCGCTCTCGGTGGGAATCCATGCCTGCAAACGAGCAGGAGTCACTCTGGGAAGCAAAGTCTTTGTGTCTGGCTCTGGTACAGTGATCACAGTCAGTCCTTGTGTTCCCTGCCTGCTGGGAGGGGATGGGCAGGCTCAGGCTCTCATCGGGGCTCTGCTGGAAGGGATGAGGGATGAGGGGGACCTCGGGGCTGCCAAAGCCTCCTTTGGCCAGGAACACCCTGAGCTGTGGGAATGTCCAGGGGTGGGGCTGACGCTGCCTGTCAGTGGTTCATGTTCTCTTTCTCCCCTTTGTACCCAGGACCAATCGGCCTCGTTAATGTGATTGTTGCTAAGATGATGGGTGCAGCAGTCGTGGTTGTTACAGGTAAGTCCTTTTAGCCCTTTCAGAGTGTGCCTGTTTCCCACCATACAGAATCACAAAATCATTAAGGTTGGAAAAAACCACTTAGGTCATCCAGTCCAGCCATTTACCCAGCACTGCCAAGCCCAGCCATAGCCATATCAGTGCCTCAGCCGCATGTTTTTTTAACAGTTCCAGGAATGGTGATTCTGCCACTTCCCTGGACAGCCTGTTCCAGTACCTGACCACCCTTTCAGAGTGGTTTGATCTTTGCAGGCTTTTTTTACCTCTGGTAGTGCTGGATTGATAGCCCCAGCAGCTTTTGCCTGCTGTTTTCTGTGTGCAGCCACACTGTGTTTCTCCACTGGTCTTTCTCTGTCCTTCTGTGTGCTCCTGCTGGGGGTTTCATTTTTCATTGGTTATTCACAGTGACTGAAATGGCCTTTTCAGTGTTTCTGCATTTCAGAAATGGGTGTTCCTTGCAAAACTGTGTCCTGGACATTTCTGGTTGAGCTGCTGCTTGGAGGAATGTCTTTGTCCAGCTGTGTCAGGAAAACCTCTGAGGAAGGAGATTCCATCTGTTTCCTATCTGGAGATACCTTCTCCACATTTGCATCTCTTTCTTTCTCTAGCTTTTTCTAGAGTCATCTCAGAAACTGTCATTTATGGAGATTCCCCCTTTATGGAAGAATTGAAATGAGTCTTTATCACCTTTGCAGCTGTCCTTAGGTTGTTGTGACAGCCATTCCATCCCCACTTTTTTGCCATGCTAACCTGGCCCAGCTCCTCCTAGCTCTCCTCTAAGGTTCAGGCCCTCTCTCTCTGTGGCTTGTCCAGAAGGATGGAGAGCTGGAGTAACCTCAGGATGTTCTCTGGTTGAAATTTCCACCTGGGGGTTGAACAGGGTCTGGAAACAGTGTTTCCAGCTCCCACTGTGAGTGTTCAGTCTTTCTGAGTGGTGATGGCCAGGAGGAGCAGCTAGAGGTACCACTGGAACATTGAGCACAGACTGCTGCAGTTTTTATGTCAAAGGTCTAAAGGATCTTGGCCTTTCAGAAGGCTGTTACCTCCCCTGCTTTGAGCCTGGTGTATTTTTGACCTTTCCATTACTATGTTACTTGACCCACTTTGGGCTAAGAGATAAAATTCAGGTCCCACCCTCTTGCCTTCACAGAAACATCCTTCAGTAGTAGCTCAGGTCAAAACACAAGACCTTCTCCTCCCTTAATCCTTTTCCTGTTGAGTCCAGGGCATTTTTAGCTGTGCTTGCCTCACCCTGCAGGTGTGTGTACTTGATGGATGTGATCGGTCCACACCTCAGATTTTGTGAAGTGCTGTCATTTGAGGATGATGTTTGCTGTAGCAGGAAAAACAGCTCTGCCTCCTGAATCACGTACGAGGAACCTTGTGCCCAGCTGGGCTGGTGCAGGGGCTGGGGGTGGCCCATTCCCTGGGTGGGGAAGGCTTGGTGAGTGGGGTTGGTGGGACTGAGGCAGCTGGCTCAGCCTGCCCCTCATTCCTGCTCCAGCCTGGGTGTGTCTTCCCCCTGGTACCAGGAGCTGTTCCTGATGGGGACCTTGGCAAGCTGAGCTGGCTGTCACGTGCCACAGGAAGTTCCTCATGCTTGGTTTGTAGGATCAGGAAGCTTGACTACATGGAATTACCCTTTCTTATCTTTATGTGCTAGCCCAGGTGCTGATTCTGATTCGTGAATGTCTGTTCTACACAAAAGAGGTTTGGCTGAGGTGCTCAAACCATGAAGGTTCTGTCCCAAGTCAAACATTTGAGCATGACATGAGGCGAGGAATGGATTTGTTTGGCTTATGCTGCTGGGGTTTTTGCTGCCTGTCTCAAGGAACTGCTTTTTGTTTTGGATTTAGGAGCCAACACCTGTGAGGTGCCTGTCTGCCCACAGAGGCCCTCTTATACTTTGCTACCAGATGATCTGAATTCATTGCCCTGTGTTTTTATCATGAGTCTGTGAGGAGCTTTGTCTGTGCAACACTTATGGCTCTAAAAGTTTGTTTGTTTTGACAAGTTTCTCACAGGTATAGAAATATTTAGAAAAGCTTTTTTTGTGAGAACTCACCTCCTAAAACTTCTGTCTCACCTAGAGTGTTTGATATATTTAATGGACTCCAGTTGGGTGAGAAGATAAATTTGTTTCATGGGTCCTCATCTACTCTACCAAAAGGTTTGTGTCTCTCTCCACTCCACTCCTGAATAGGTGTGATTGATATTTATGGTCAACCTCCTGTCCTTCTGCTTTGCTGTTGCTCTGAAAAGCTGCTTTTCTCCTTAGGTGCATGTAAAAGATCAGCCTTCCTCCCCAGTAAGTGAAGGGGCAGTTGAGGTGTTCATGTTGGGCTGTCTTGCATTGCAGTCTGTCACTGAAGGTGCAGTTAATAATTCCTACTTATTTTCCTTGTTCTGTCTGAATCTGAAGTTCTGGGTGTTAATGCCTCCAGAAGCCCTGGAATTCAAGGTCAGGGGAGGTGAGTAACTCACCTTCTGTGAGTTCAACTCCTTTGAGAAAGATGAACAAAGAAAATCTGAGAATAATCAAGAGAATTTATTTGCTTGTTAAGTTGGCTCACAAACCATCATGACAAGCTTAAGGGTAATTTGATAACTTTGCTGGAAGCAAACCAAACTTAATTTAGCTCCAGGGGCTGGGAAGTGAAAACAAACTTCTGACTAGAGGCAAGATGCAAGCCCTTAATTGTCTAATTGACCAGTTTCCCAAGAACTGTGTGGATTTAAAGTGCAAAGGATTGATCCTTCCCAAGACTCACAAGTGTCTGGAGCTCTGAACAATGCAGTGAACTGCAGATCTGTCTGCTTCACCAAGTGATTCAGGTGTACTGAGATGTTATTGCAGCCCTGGCTAGGGCTGGCAGTGTTGCTGCTGCATTCTGTGTGCTGCTTAAAGCCAGGGCTTCCTTCCCGAGCAGGTCAGCAAACCAGAGGCCAGCTACAGGGAAGATGTGGGATTTTTTGCTGCCTGGGAGTGATTTTGTGGCCATTTTGAAATGCACTGGCTGCCTTGTTACTCTGGGATGCTGCCTGTGGATTATTTCTGCTAGAGAGAAAGTATAAAATATGTAAAATATAGACTAGAATGTCTCTAGTATTTTATCTATTTATATATTATACATGTATAATATTTTATATATATTTATAATTTAAAATACATATAATGACTCAGGAAACATTAAAAATGGTGGAATCCAGAATCTGTGTCTGCTGTGAGCTGGTATTGTGAGACCAAACTTCACAGAGAGTTTAGTCATTACTTGAGAGGACTGTTGAATCCATGTGGTCTCCTTGCCATACTGAGATTTGAGAGACACCAACCATGCTGGGCAAAAGTGTTTCATAGCACTTGAAGTGCCTCAAAAAGCTCCTGGCCATGCAGTTGGTGCATGGGAGGTCTCTGAGTGCAGCTCAGCTGGGGTCAGGCATGACCCCAGACATGACCTGGAGCCCAATGCTCAGAGCTTGGGAGGGACAGAGGTGACTCCTGCAGCTGCAGGAATGGGCCCGTGCTGGGGCTTCCAGGGTGATGCTGCCCTTTCTTTTCAGCCTTGATTTTTCCTCTTTTGTCTGCATTTTATTACCCTTTGTTACACCTTCTTGAAGTATCCTCCACAGCTCTCCTGGGTGCTCAGCTTGGTAGGTGTGCCCACACTTGGCATCCTGAGTCTTCCAGCTGCCTGTGGGGGCATGTCCATCCCCTGCCCTGCCAGTGAGTGCCATCATTTTTGCTGTGGGATGAGTAGGGTAGAGCCTCTGGCTCACTTCCAGGAGTGTGGCTGAGTCAGAGCAGCTCATGTTGGAGAACTGGCCTTCTCATGTTGGAGAACTGGCCTCCTCTTCTTTCCCTTGATATTTTCACCCCACCCCATCTCTGACTTCTCTGAAGATTGTGCCCAGGTGAGAAGCCAGCCTCTTTGCAGTGTATGCCCCTACCACAGGCATCTTTTTCTGAGTATTCAAGCCCAGGACCTCTGGGAGGAGACCACCCCTCAATTTCGGGTCTGGGAAATCTTGGCTGTTACACCTTTTCCAATGCCAGCATGCAGACTCCTGTAGACACTGCTTTAGTGTGGGGAAAAGAGGTGATTCCTTGCAGGGAAATCCCACTCTTCTCCTCAGCTGTCCATGTCCTTTTCTTCAGAGTTACCTGGTTACTAGTGGTGCCTGTAGAGGAGTAGGTGGCTTTCCTCCAGGGGATGTGAGATGCCCAGCAGGACAGCTTGGTTGGTGGTACAAACCCTCTGTGGATCTTCAGGTGATACTTACAGCCCTGCAAGATCCCTCAGAACAGAGTACAGGAGTACAGCCATGCCCTCACAGATGTTTGTCATCACCAGCTTTGTTGCTCCATGTTAATGGGGTGTCTCAGGTCCACCTTATTACCAGATCCACTCCCTTTTTTCTTTATGGGCTTGCCTGCTGATTCATCTGTGACAGAAACTAACTGAGAGATGCTCAGCAGCCTCCAGAGCTGCTACAAGGATGTAAAGAGCAGGACAGGTCTGTGACAGTGCAGACATTCTGCGGTTTGCCCAGCTGAAGGCACCTGCTGAGGGTTCCTTGAGGAAGCCCTTGGAGAGCTCATGGTCTGTTCTCATTATTAGAAGCTGTTACACTTCTAACAGTAAATTCTCTGCTGTTAGAAGTGAAATGGCCACATTAATGATCTGCTGAGCCTGTTGTCTCCTGCTGGAAAGATTTCTTGGTGCTGTCCATAGCCATGTCTATTCTCTTGATGCACTCTCAGTGTTCTGGCAGTATCAAAGAGAAACTGCCCATGGCAGGGAATGGAAATTCCAAGTGGAGTGGAGCTTTGAAGTCGCTTCCAACCCAAACTATTCCAGGATTTTATGCTCATTCTCTGCCTGCCAAGAAGGGGTGAATCCTCACCTCTTCCGGTTGTGCACTGTCCTGTGCACACGTGTAGTGAGCAGATGCCTGGTTTAGGTTCCTCCCCCTCTTTCACATAATGCACCAGTTCTTGACTTGGTTTATTTCCCACAGACTTATCTGCCTCTCGCCTGCAAAAAGCCAAGGAGGTGGGGGCAGATTTCACCATTCAGGTGAAGAACGAGACCGCGCAGGAGGTGGCCTCCAAAGTGGAAAGTGTGCTTGGCTGCATGCCTGAGATAACTGTGGAGTGCACAGGAGTGCAAGCCTGTATCCAGGCTGGAATTTATGTGAGTACCACTTGTTCCAAAGGCAGACCAGTGATGGTGTTGGTCTGTTTTTTTTTTTCTGGGATGGTTCAGTGAATGAGCTATTTCACTCCCACAGTGGTTAATTTAAGTGGCCTTGGTGTAGGGAGAGAAGCTGCTCCTTAGATAGTAAACTAAGAGAGATAATTAAAGTGTTAACATCAGTGTGGGGATAATTAATTTGATGCTTGGGTGCTTAACCACTTACCAAGGAGACTCCAGCAAGATCCCCAAACCCAGGGAGTAGGACAGCAGCTTCCATTGAAGGTATGTCCAAATAAGAAGAGTAATCAAGAAAATTAATTCCAGAAGGAATGAAAGAAGCAATTAGGAAAGGGATGTTTTGCTAAAACAGGAGGATGGGGGGTAGATTACTGTGTAGTTTCACAGTGAAAGGACAGGAGGGGAATGCAAAAAGAGAAATTCGAGTAGAGCATCAGGCTCTTAGTTTTAAGTGTCTCCCACTGAAATCCCAAAGTACTTTTTGTAGTCCCAAATGCCAGCCATTTTTCAGAATGGGGTTTTCAGAATAGGAATTTTGGATTCCTATCAAAATCCTTCAGATATTTTCAAAAGATTGCATTTTTTTCGCTTTGATTATCACATGTTTCACTCTTCCAGACTCCTGACAGCCTCCTGCCTCTCCCTGCCTTCTCTGCTGTGCCCCAGGCAGTCCATTGCAGCCATAAAGGGTGGCTTTGTTTTTGACAGACCCTGCTCAGGCTCCTGCAGCTGTGCTCTGCAAAATGTAACCTGTTTGTGACTTTGCTCTCCAGGCCACTCGTTCTGGTGGGACCTTGGTTCTGGTGGGGCTGGGGCCTGAGATGGTGACGGTGCCCATCGTGAACGCTGCCGTGCGGGAAGTGGATATCCGTGGGATATTCCGCTACTGCAACACGTGAGTCTCGTGCGGGGGGGCTGATGTGTCTCCAAGTTAAAATTCTTCAGAGCTCTACTTTCTTGCTAATGGAGAAAGTCTTTTTTCTTAATCTGTAGCTCTTCAGGAGCTAGTTTAGGTGCTGCATCCCTTTTCTCTCCTATCCCTGTTGCTCTAATTTGGCCCATTCATGGTTAGACTTGATGATCTTGGAGGCCTTTTCCAATCTCAGTGTTTCTGTGATTCTAAACAGAGTGGCAGCACAACCCCTGTGAGGAACTCTGTGCCAGAGAAAAGGCTGGAAGCCTGACTGAGGCTTTTCCTGTAATCTCCCCGAGTCCATGAGTTTGAGCTCCACCATGGTCAGTGTGCAGGCAAGAGGCCAAGCAAGAGGAGAGTGGAGCATGGTAGTTTTGGTTTTCATTCAGGGCTTCCAAAGTAGTAGTTTCCTGTGATTCTCAATTTCTTCATGTGATTTTGCTTACTCTCTCAACTGTCTGTGTAGCAGTGCCTGTCTTCTCAGAGCTCAGCAGCCCAGAGCAGCTGGCTTGTTCCATCTCCCGTACCAGAAGGTTCTTTGCAGGCAAAACTTCCCTGGGCTAGGGAAATAACAGTGAGAATCCAGGGCTCCATGCTCTTTTTTTGGACTCCAGACTAGTGGCTGCTCTCATCCCCTGCTCTCTGCTTCCCTTGCAGGTGGCCTGTGGCCATCGCTCTTCTCGCATCCAAGCGGATCAACGTCAAGCCCTTGGTTACACACCGTTTCCCCCTGGAGAAGGCTCTGGAGGCCTTTGAGACCACCAAGAGGGGTGAGGGGGTCAAAGTCATGCTGAAGTGTGACCCCACTGATCAGAGCCCCTGAGCTGTCCCAGGGCCCAGCCCTCATCCCTGCTGCTTGTAACTAGAAAATCACATGTAATGAGGATGAGTGGTACTGGGAGACACCATTAGAGCATTAACAGGTAACTACAAATGGACAACCAATAGTTTGAATCAAAATGCTGAATTAGAGATGATGGGTTGCACAGTTGGTGGCTCTTCACAGACCACACGTGCAGGAGAGCCTGGCCAGGTTCCTCTGTGCCAGGGAGGGTGTCACTGGCATGTGGCACAGTAAGGGTGGAGCTGCTGGCACTCCCCCTTCCTGTCCTGCTCTGCCCTGGCTGCAGCATTTCCTGCATGGCAATCCCTGGGTGCAAAATAGTCCTAGGTGAATATCCCCCCTTCCCTCGTGGGTGCTCAGGGACCGTACAGCCTGTGGAACAAAGCCTGGCCCTCCCCACTCCATGGGAAGCACTGGCACATTCAGGTCATTCTCTCCACACTCTTCTCAAAGTTCAGAAACTGGGTTTTTGGGAAACTTGGAGGCCAGCTGGGACCATGTCTGCCGTGTCACCGCCCCAACAGCTCCTCGTGGGACCACTGCAGGCAGGGAAACTGGGACTGCTGTGAGCTCTGTCCTTATGTGCCTCCCATGAAGGGTCTGTTGGGGAGCACAGCTGCTTTTGACATGGGAAGGAGCATAGATGAGACATAATGGGAAAGCATCACTTAAAGGTTTTACCACTGCAATCAAATCATAATTCTTTGGGAATACCAAGCCTTCCTGCTGAGTTTGTGAGCCACAAACAAGGTACTAACGAGGTAGAAAAAAAATCTAATACTTGATTACAGTCATGTTAATTTTAGTACTGAGAGATCAGTTCCTTCCTTGGTACTGAATTTTCCTCAATAAATTCTGGCTGCCTGAAACCTTCCAGATGTGTCCCTTGAAGTGTGGGGTGGTGGGTTGAAGGGGCTTACATGTGATTGTGCAGACCTAAGCCTCTCCAGGGTGCAGGCTGAGCTCAGTTTTGGCAGGACTCTGAAACCTCAAACCACCCAACCACTTGCAAATGAAACCTCATGATGTGGCCAAGTTAATCCTGGCAGAGATGGAAGGCCCCAAGTCCATGCTGAATTTTACAGGGATGAGACATAACCCAGGGGAACTTTCTGTAGTGGGAAGAAGTGGTCAAAATATGTGCCCAGCACATTGCCATGCTGGGAGGAACTCCATTGGCATGGCTGAGGATTCACTGGCCATCCCGACTCCTGTCCTGTGGGGATCCCCATTGGCATGGCTAAAAGGCCAGTGGCCATTGCAAGATTGTTCTTACTGGGAAATGGAAACTTGTAGTCTTAGGGGGCTGTTTAGCATCCCAGGGTCTGGAGTTATTCCCACAGCTCAGCCTGGTTGGGTTCCTTGTCTGATCTGGTCCTCTGTCAGGTCTTGCTGGGGGCACTGACACTGCAGGGGCATTGCTGGGGGCAATAGGTCTGGTGAACATAATGAGCGGGGCTGTGCCTGTAATCCCCCACCCTCAACTCCGTGCATGTCACCAGTGCAGGGGAAACTCTCCAACTTGGCCCATTTTCCAGTGGGCTGGAGTTAATGCTCTGTGCCAGGAGCAAGGCCAGCTCTATGCCACAAGTATTACAAGTCTCCAGGTGACCAAGACCCAATTACAGGAGGCAAGAAAGTGTTTTAAGACTTCAATCAGCTTTATTTGAGCTCAACCACAGCCTGCAAAAGTAGCAGTGATGCAAAGCCAGGCATTATTTAAACAAGTAGAACTGATTCCTGATTGATGGAGAAAAAGCCAATGCAAACACAACTAAGGCCTTATGCAAACCCAGGGAAGGCTCAGAGAGTTAACAAGCAGGCACTGAAGAGTATGTGAGGAGAGCTGTTTTGAGAAGAGGGTTAGCAGGAAGCTTGCTGACTCCTCACCCCATCTGTTCACCACATGGGTCTTGGAACAAAGTGCTGTGAATTCAGGTTGTGCAGGCACCGAGCTGCTCCCCAAAGGTGGTCAGAGCCATTCCCTGAGTCCCCCAGCAGAGCAGAAGCTCTGTCTTGTGAGTTTAAGGGGGCAAAGCTGGGTTTAACTCAAACTGGGTTTTCTTGACTGGGACACGCCAGCATGATCCTGGGCATGGGGCTGCAGGGATGTATGGATGGTAGCAGGGCTCAGGGCTTCACAATGGGGCCATGTAGGGCAGTGCTGGGATGTCAAGGCTTTACTAGCACACCAGTTTCTGCTGTGTGGGTCCCAGTATCCCTGCACTCTGCTGTGGATGGTTTTCACCTGGGGAGGGTGCTGGGTGGGAGCCTGGGACAGTGGCCACTGGAAGTATTGCTGCTAGGTGCTGGGGTGAAAAAAATGCAGCTGTAGCCAGAGGGTGGAACAGTGTGGGGTAGGGTCAGAAATTCTCATAGTGATGTGCAAAGTAGGTCTGGTCCTTCTTGTTCATCTGCCGGCAAGCCTGCTCCACACTCTTGGTCATCCCGGGTGGGCCACAGCTGAACACCCCGATCTTCCGCACCTGGGGAAGGAGGGAGCAAAAGGGGTCAGACTGCAGCACCAGTTCTCCCCACAGTCCAGCCCCCCTTGCTCTCTGATAGCTTTGGGCATGGATGCTGGCTGAGCAGTCTGTCTCAGCCTCCCCCAGGCTTCTGGGGATGTTGTCACATTCCCATGGAGCTGCCAGGGCCATGGAGGAAGGATGGGAACCCCTCAGCTCAGGTCAGTGGTTGCAGCCAAGGTCCTGCAGTAGCAGCAGGTGTTTGGCTGGTATGGGGCATTGCTGATTCCTGCAGCTCAGCCTGGCTCCAGATGGCAAACAGGATTCATTCCCCTTCTGCTCTGTTCTTGGTGCAGATGCCACTGAGGTCCCCAGGACCTTGGGGACAGGCAGGGACCAGTCCCCCACAATGGCCAGTGGTTGCACCTCCTCCTGTCCCCAGGCAGGCACTGACCTCAGGGTGCACCTCCTGCAGCGAGCTGAAAAAGGGCACGAAGGGAGGGCGCCCAAAGTGGGTGATGGAGCGCAGCCCCGTGAACAGGCTCTTGTTCAGCACCTTCTGGAAGTGCCGCTCACAGATGTACTGAAAGAGAGATTGGTGCACATCAGATCGCCCAGCACAGCCCAGCATGGCCCTGCAGAGCCTGGCATGGCATGGCCTGGCATCCTCCCCCTTGGATGTCCAGGCTCACCAGCATGGTGGTGCGCAGATCAAACTTCTCAGCCAGCTGTGTGATGTAGATGTGCACAGAGACCAAGTTGTTCTTGTCTGATTCTTCCACCTCCCGGATGATGTCGGTCAGCCACTCAAACTGCCGCTGCGTGCGCGTCACCCAGATGAAGTAGATCTGTGGCACATTGGAACGAGGCCCGTAGTGGGACCAACATCCTTATGAATGTCTATGGACTCCACAGAGGATTTTACCCCAAAGACACCAGCAACAGCAGGAGGCATCTCAGAATCACAAATCAATTAGGTTGGAAAAGATCTCTGGGATCGAGTCCAACCTCTCAGGAGGGCTTGTCTTTCAGACGCTCTTACCTTCTTACACAGCAGCTTGGAGTTTATGGATGACTTGAAGACAAGGTCCTTGAGAATGGATGCGAAGGGTGTCACCCCGATGCCTCCTCCCACCAACACCGACACCTCAAACTTGTTCCACTCCTGGTGGCCCTCTCCAAAGGGCCCATCCAGGTAGAGCTGGAAGGGAGTCAGCTGTTAGCAGAAGTCTCTGCTTGCCCAGATCTCGGAAGCCCTCAGGGTTGGAGAAGTGCCTCACACTTGGCACAACCCATTGACAGGGTGCTCTTGTGTCCCCATGGGTGACATCCTGTGCAGGGCTCACCTTGGGCAGTGTGCCGAGCAGGGCCAGGTTTTTGGGAGAGTAGAGCTCCCGCAGACGGGTGGTCCAGGGCCCAACAGCGCGGATGTGCAGGCTCAGCGTGTCGTCGTGTGGGGCCGAGGTCAGTGTGAAGGGGTGGTACTCGGTGGTGCCCAGGCCCACGCAGGCGATGCGCACCCACTGCCCAGACTTGTAGTCAAAGTCCAGTGGGCGCTGGAATTGCAGGTGTGTGACACCTGTGGGGAGATGGGAGGGGGCTCCGTTACGTTGGAGATGTTGAGGAGTTGATGTTCCTGCATCGCTGCAGCCCCCGATGCTCTTGCGAGGAGCCTGGTGCTGCGTGGCCAAGGATGTTGTGGTACCTGAGGGCAGGAGCTCGGCTTTCACCACACTGATCTCCACCTTCTTCCTGCTCAGGCTGTACAGCTTGTCCGCACTGTAGATGAGAGCTGGGATGATGAAGTAGATGTAGAAACGGGGCTGCTGGATCAGTGCGTAGCTGCCATGGATGATGACCTGCACAGGGAGCAGAACCTTTAGCAAGGCGAGCCATCACCCCAGGGATGATTTGGTGGCAGCTCAACAGCAGCGAGGAGGCAGGACTCGGGCTACCATCTCCCTTGGGACTACCCCAAGCTATTCCATCTCATCAGCTGCACTGACTTCACCTACAGGCTTGCAATGCATCAGCACCATCCCTCCTTTCCAGCCCAAATCCTTTACCAGGATGTAGAGCAGCATGTAGAGGTGGTGAGTGATCCAAAAGCCCTGGAAGCTGACGCGCCGGAAGTGGTGTGTGGCAAACACGTACATCACAGCAAGGACCACGAGCAGCAGCACTCCTGTCATGCCTGCGAGAGGAAGAATTGAGAGGCCCTGTGGGGGACAGCAGGGCAGCCCCACAGGGGCTCTGACTGGACTGGGCAGGGGGCTGCCCACCCTGGACACAGGTGTGCAGGTCTGTCTGCTAGGTGTTCTCACCTGGAATAGTCTGGAAGAACCACCAGTAATACTTCTGTGGGAGCTGTGACCTGGAGGAGGACAAGAGATTGCACCATGGAGTGACCAGAATGAACTAATGGTTTCCATTTTCATTTCTGTCCATGCCCATGACACACTGTCTGGACTCTGCTTCAACTTCCACGTACCCATCATTTGTAAAGACAGTGGAGAAAAGGCAGGACAGCACACTGAGAGGTGTGACTGAGAAGATGTAGACGTTCACTATGTGACCTGCAGTGTGGAGCACTGTAAGAGACAAAAATACAGAGAAAGAAGCATCGCTTGATGTGGATGGAGATGTGTCAGACTCTGCTGGTGTCCCCAGGGACCCGGAGATTCCACCTCTTCTGTAGTGCAAGGCATCTATGGCTCTGCAAGGTCTTGAAGCTTCTGTCTGGTCCTGCCATGGCGTGATAGGCTGGTCCTCTGCTTGTGGGTGGCAATCCCCCAGCAGCCCACCTACCTGAGAAAATCAGGGCTGCCATGGCAATCCAGCGGTGGAAGTCGACGGCGGCATCAAAGGGGATGAAGTGATTGAGGAAGGTCTCCCGCAGGACGGTGATGAGGTTGCGGCACATGGTAAGCAGGATGTAGGAGTACATGAAGGAGATGGAGGCAGCTGATCCCCGGGAGATGATGATCCCCACAAAGGTGGTCTGTGTAATTCCAGTGCTGGGAGATGCAAAGGCGTAGTCTGGGAAGAGAGAGCAGAGGGGATGTCACTTGCCCAGCACCGAGGGCCAGCAGCCTTCCTGAAACAAGGGGACAGTCACCTCTGTGGCTCCACCAAAAACAGGACACCAGGGAGGGGTTTGTGTGGGGAAAGGGGCACAATGACCCAGAACTGCTGGATGACAGGGTGTCTTTGGAGATCCAAGGAGGAGAATGTCTACCTGGGAATCTGCACCTTGGGACTGTGGCCTCAGTCGGGGAATCCAATATAAGGGGTGTTCATAAACTGGAACAAGTCCAGTGGAGACCACTGGAGCTGGAGTGGGAGCTGGAGGACACCATAGAGCATATGTCTATGTAAGGGAAAGGCTGAGGGAAATAGGCTTGTTCAG